CAAAGATGCGATTCCCTCGTCTGCCGGCGCTGCGTGGACGCCCCGCCGGCCGCGCCTGGCCAGGGGGCCGCTGCGGGGGGCGCAGACGCGCCAGCAGCTAGCCCGGCTCCAGCCGGGTCGCGGGCGCCGCCGCCGCTGGGAGACGCGCTTGCGGCAGACGCTGCACCTGCTTTCGTCCTTCGGGACCTCGCGGCCGCCTGCTGGACAGGGCGCGACGCCTGCGACCTCCCGGAGGAGTTCGCGCTGGACTGCCCCACACTGTGGGTCGTCCCCGGACGAGCCAGGGCAGCGGCCGCACAAGCCACCGAAGAGCTTTGCGAAGCGGTCCTCCGGGCTCCGGCTGGGAGCGTGGAGGCCGAGCGGGCCTGAACCTGCTCGCGCTGCGGGAGCGACATGCTTTTCGCCGCCCCCCTGCGGCTCAGGGCGAACGGCCGGCAGCGCCGCACTGCGGCAGAGACCCTGGACCGCGCGCAACTCGCGCGCGAGCGCTGCTCCTCGCTGCTCCAGGGCGGCTGGGAAGAGCTTCTGACGGCGACCAGGGGCGCGGCCCGGGGCCAGGCGAAGGCGCGCCGCCGGGCCGGCGGGGCCGCCCGGGGCGAGCGGCCCCTCGCAGACGAGGTTTTGCGGAAAGCCATGGGCGAGGAGTGCTCCCGAGCAGCCGCCCTACTTTCCAGCCCAGGCCTCGCCCCGCTCACCGCTGAGACAGGAGAGCGGCCCCAGGCGCCCCTGCAGCCGCGCCCCGCCGCTGCGCGGCCCAGAGCGGCGGCGCCACTCGCCGCGCCGCCGCCGCCGCCGCTCTCCCACGGGGCCTTGAAGAAGGCACTCAAGACGAGCCCCCGGGGCAGCCGCAGGCGGCGGACGCTTCCAGCACTGGCGAGTCGTTCTCGCAGAGCCCACCGCGCTGGACGCCTTCTGCAAGGTCTGCGACAGGATCGCAGAGGGGCGCGCCCCCGAGAACACCGCGGCGGCACTAGCACTCGCAGAACTCAAGCCGCCGCGCAAGCCAGGCGGTGGCGTTCGGCCCATCGCTGCGCCGAACATTTTGCGGCGGCTGGCGGGCCGGGCGCTGGTGACGCCGCGCAAGCACGAGCTGGCTGCAGCGCCGGGGGAGCAGCAGTTTGCTGCGGGCACGGCAGCGGGCACGGAGCTTCTCGCGCACGCGGCGCGGGCCGTGGCGGAGGCAGACCCCAGCTAGGCGATGCTCGAGCTCGAACGCGCACTGCTCCGCCAACAGAGAGGCCTCCTGCCTACGGGAACTGGAGGAGGCAGCGCCAGAACTGCTGCCCTACGCAAACCTCTTCTGCCGCCAGGAGTCCCAATATTACTTCTGGGATGCAGCAGACGCCTGCCACCGCTCGCGCGCCACTGTCGGGGTGGACCATGGAGACCCGCTGGCACCGCTGCTCTTTGCCTGCGGGATGCGGCCCCGCTTGCGCGCCCTGGAGCGAAGCTTGCGCGCGGCCGCGGAACGACGGGGGCTGGGCCCCGGCGCCGTGCGCGTCCTCGCCTACCTGGACGACATCGTCGTGCTGACGCCGGCGGCACTCGCGGGCGAGGTGCAAGCGGCGGCGCAGACGGCTCTGGTTCGCTGGGGCGAAAAACGCAGGCCTGGTCCGCTGAGGCGGCCTGCCCTCCAGGCCTGCGGCGCGCGGAGGGCCTGACTCTCGCGGGCGCGCCGCTCGGGGCCCCCTTGCCCGCGGCGGGGCTGCCCGACGAGAGCGACGGGCGCCGCGTCGGCCTCGGCTCGGCGGACTACGCGAAGGCGCGCTGCGCGGAGACGGGGAGGCCGGCGGCGAAGCTCCAAGCTCGCGAGCTTCCCAACCGCGGCCTCGCCGCACCTGCCGGCGGCGCAAACCGCGGGGCTCCTGCTACGCCACTGCGGCACCAGCAAGCTCGCGCACCTGCCGCGGACGAACCCGCCGGCAGCCACAGAGGCCGCGGCCGCGGCCTACGACGAGGCCTTGCCGGCAGCCTAGCCTACGAGGAGCACGCGGAGCTGGACCCGCTGACGGAGCCGCAGCGAGCGAAGTGCCAGCTGCCTCTGCGAACTGGCGGGCGAGGCTTGCGCAGCCAACGGCAGCTTACGCCTGCTGCCTGGGCCTCCTCCTGGGCGCAGAGCCTGGGCGGAGTCAGGGGGCGCGCTGGCCTCGCCCGCCTTGCGAACCTGGAAACTTGCGGGCGCCCACTTGCTGGCGCCTGCCGCGACGCACTGGCTGGGCTGGCGCAGCTGACGCCGCCGCCGCCCCGCCCCGGCGCGGAGCCGGCCGAGCTGCCCACCTGGCAAGAGCTGGCCGCGACGCCTGCCCGAAAACTTCAGAAGGCCCCCACAGCAAGGATTGACCAGAAAAACTGCACTTTCTTGCTGGGAGCCCTGGAGCTGGAGGACAGGGCGCTCCTGCGCTCTTGCGGAGGGCCTCACGCTTCCGGGTGGCAGACTGCCTCGCCCGGACAGTCCCACGAGCGCCTGGACGACGCGGACTACAGGCTCACTGCCCGCGCCCTCCTGGGGCAAGATGCGGCGCCGCCTGGGGCCACTTGCTGCAACCGCACCAGGACGGGCGAGCGAGCTGGCCAGCGCTGCGGCGAGGCGCTTTGCAGGAAAGCCCGCCACGCCTGGCGCGGCCCCCGGGGCGGAGACCTGAAGGCGCGCAGCAGCGACCTGGAACGGGCCTGGCAGCGCATCCATTCGGATTGCGGCCACTTGGCCACCCGACAGGTCCACGTCCCAGCCTGGGACCTGGGACAGCTGGGCATGGCGCTGCACCGGGTGCGACGCCCGCGGGACCGCGGCGGAACGGCCAGGCGACGCCTGCGCCTCCTGCGGCCACGGCTTGGCGGCTGCGCGCGAGGAGGCGATCCTCGACCTGGAGGTGCAGCGGCCCGGGCAGCCGCGCACCTTCTTCGACGTCACGGTCCGCTGCGGCGTGCTGGGCAACGAGGACGCGCTGCGCGCGGCCGCCAGCCGGGACGGGGCCGTCAACGCGGCGGCGGAGGCGGACAAGCACCGCCGGTACCCCGCGCGACGGGCACCCTGGCGGATGGCGCCCATGGCGCTGGAAACCGCCGGGCACCACGGCCAGGCGGCCTTGCAGCACCTCCGCGGCCTGGCCCGGGGAGCAAGCGGCACTGCAGGAGCCCGAGGACGAGGGCGCCGCCAAGGCTCTGGAAGGGCAGCTCGTGGCCCGGTGGGGCCGTAAGCTCAGCGTGGCCCTCCACCGGGCCACTGCCCGACAGCTGCGTTCCGCCCGGGGTGTGGACGGCGCCGGCTGGGCCGCCGAGCTGCGGGCTGCTGCGGCGGCCTGACTGGACAGAGGCGCCGGGGCGCCGCTCGCTAATTGAGCTGGAGCTGGACGACTAGCCGAGCGGGGTCCGGGCTTGCCCGCACCCCGCTCGGGAGGTGCCGTCGCGACGCTCTTGGAGCTCAGAGCGGGCGCAAGCGCGGGCGCGGCGGCAAAGGGACCCGCGCCGCGGCCTTCGCAGGAGGAGGAGGAGGAGGAGGAGGAGGAGGAGGAGGAGGAGGAGGAGGAGGAGGAGGAGGAGTTGGAGGAGGGGGAGGGGGAGGGGAGGAGGAGGGGGAGGGGGAGGAAGAGGAGTTGGAGGAGGGGGAGGCGGAGGAGGAGTTGGAAGAGGGGGAGGGGGGGAGGGGGACAAGCTAGGTGCGCTCGCATCATATCTGACATCCTACCCCTCCCTCCAATCCGTTCTCATGGCGTAGACCCCCTCTCTACTCGCACAATCGGATGTCGAGCAGGGCAATGATCCCGACAGGGTACGCGATGCATTGTAGAGCACGGCATGGCATGGCGTAGAAGAGCACCGCAAAGCGTAGTATGTCACAGCATGGCGTGGCGTGGCGTAGTGAAGAATTGCATCAGAAAGCTTTGCAACGCAAAGCATGGCATCGCACAGCGGCCCCGAACATAACATTGCATAGCATGGCGTTGAAGATCAAAGCGTAGTATGGCATAGCACGACGTGGCACTTAAGCAGTGCATATCACAGCTTCAGCTGAAGGCATGGCATCGCGCAGCGGAACGCAACCTAGCATTGCATTGCATGCCGTGGCATGACACGGGAAATGACGCCAGCGCTGCAGCGGGAGCACGATTCGGAACGAGCGGAAGCACGGAAATGAGGCCAGCGCTGCAGCGGGAGCACGATTCGGAACGAGCGGGGCCCGAAAATGAGGCCGGCGCTCCAGCGAGAGCAGCACTTTGAAAAAAAATGCAGGCGATAACCCAACTCCAGGGAATCCTGTGTGCAAAAAAACAGTACGCGGGGGGGGAGGGGGGCGAATATTCCCAAACCGTCATCAGGGGAAGGAGGAGAGTACTATTCATATTGAGTAATTGTGGAGGAGGAGGAGGAGGAGGAGGAGGAGGAGGAGGAGAAGGAGTTGGAGGAGGAGGAGGAGGAGGAGGAGGAGGCGGAGGAGGAGGAGGGGGATGGGGAGAAGGAGGGTCCGCCCCTCTCGCGGCGCCCTCCGAGGCCGCGGCAGACGGCTGCGCATGCTGCGCCTCCGGGAGGACAGCCGAGCGCCAGGCGCTGCGCAGCGGATGGTGCAGCTGCGCCGGCTGCGTCAGCGGTGGCACCTCCTCCCCCGTCCGACTACCTACCAAATCACCCCAGCCCAACCCGAAGACTCGAGTTTCGCTCGGATTTCGGGTTGGGGGGGTACGGGTTTCAGATGCGTTTCTTCCATATTCCCCGACCCCCCCCCCACTGGAAATGGAGGGCGAATCGGGGCCTTCAGGTTGGGTTGGGGTGGTTTGGTGGGCGGTGACCGTCCTCCCGGAGGCCCCGAGATCGGACGGAGATGCGGGGGAGGGCCTGCGCGGCCTCGGCTGGCCCTCCTCCTCCTCCTCCTCCTCCTCTCCTCCTCCTCTCCTCCTCCCTCCCTCCCTCCCTCCCTCCCTCCCTCCCTCCCTCCCTCCCTCCCTCCCTCCTCCCTCCATCGTCCTCCTCCTCCTCCAGCACTCTTCCTCCTCCTGCACCTCTTCCCCCCCCCCCCGCCCCTCCTCGACCGGTTCCAGCTCAACCCCGAGGTCCGCGAAGTCTGCTCTCAGCTCCTGCCGGGAGCAGCGAGCCCGCAGGGCACCCCCCCTGGGCCAGGGAGACGAAAGATGAGAGGAAGGTGCGGTGGCGAGGAGGTGGCAAGGAGGAAGGGAAAGGCGGAGGAGGAGCAGGAGAAGGAAAAGGAGGAGGTGGAGGAGCAGAGGAGCAGGAGCAGCAGGAGGAGGAGGAGCAGGAGGAGGAGGAGGAGGAGGGGGGGGGAAGGAGGAGGAGGAGGAGGAGAAGGAGGAGGAGGAGCAGGAGGAGGAGGAGGAGGAAGGTGCGGTGGCGAGGAGGAGGAGGAGGAGGAGGAGGAGGAGAAGCAGAAGGAGGAGGAGGAGAGGAGGAGGAGGAGGAGGAGGGAGGGGAGGAGGAGGGGAGGAGGAGGAGGAGGGAAGAGGGAGGAGGAGGAGGAGGAGGAGGGAGGAGGAGGAGGAGGAGGAGGAGCTGGAGGAGAAGAAGGAAAAAGAGGAGGAGGTGGAGGAAAGGTTTGGCCTGAGAACCGGGCGCATTTCCGAGGTCGCACGCCCCGCAGGCCGGCCCTCGCGCGCGTACCTGATGGGGCCGCGCCCACTGCGCCTCCCCATCTCTCTTGCCCCGTACCGCTTTCGGGGATGGACAACCCCCTTTAGTAAAACGTGGTTTAGTGAAAACGACCTGAGGCCCAAACCTGGCGGGCGCAAGCCTGGAAAATAACGGCCACGGCGCCCTCTCGAGAACCGAAAACGGACAATTCACTAATCGACGTGTCACTGTTGGGGGTTCTGTCCACCCCCGACGCTTGCCTGAAGGAGCGTGGCACCGTCGACTTCGATTGCAGAGGTCGTGGGCACGAACGGCTGCGAGACTGGGAAGGGCGGCAGGACTGCCATCCAGACATCACGGTGCAGTGGCGATGCCAGAGCAGCGGAGCTGCAAGGGCTGTGGAGCAGCAGTGCCAGGTCATCTCGAATGGTGCAGATGTGGTACTTCCTGATAGATGAATACAACGCCCAAAACAAGGTACACATTCCCAGCCTGCAGCGCAAGACCAGCAAAGCACACGCCAGTATAGGACGAGTTCGACACTTTCCAAATCATTACAGAAGTTGGTGGATGAAATATGTATCGCAGATCCAAAGGAAAAAGTTCAAACATACGAAATGGGAATTACCCCCCGTTGATCCAAGACAAAGCCGTGCCTTCAAGCACCGTGCTCTCTCCCGTAGCAAAACACTGGCGGAGGTCATCGATAGCCACACGAAGGCAAACTTGGATTCTAAGGATGAGACCACGGAGATGGCCATGCTGAAATATGCTTTCATCATGACGAAAAGGCCAGGCGACATTATCAGTGGGCTGGCAGCGAAGGATTGCAAAGACAACGAGGAAATGGCCAATCTTAAGAAGCGGGTCTAAAAGTTGAGGGAACAAGAACTGGCATTGGAAGAAACACTTATTCGGCATGATGTGCAAGCTCTTCAAATATGACAGGGATCATGTGGGAGAAGACGCTATGACAAGGCCGAACCAGACGAGGAAGTCCTTCGAACTGAGCCCCCATGGCGCGAATCGCCCCGACGGATGAAGATGAATGAAGGCGGTGATGTCGGAGATCCGAGGCCCTCAGAGTGGCCAGGACAGGGAGCTGCCGCAGCAGCATCGACAGAAGTGACGGGTCAACGGAGACTCCCGATCCCCCCTCGGCCGCCGAGGGAATCATCATCGCCTGCACCGCCACCTGTGATCGACAAAATCATGAAGAAGTTGGACAGTATTGGAACTGGCATGGCGGATCAGGCTCGCGCCATCGCAGGCTGAATATCAATCTAAGCAGGCGACCTTCATCAATGGAATTGACGAGAGAATGTTCAAGAGCCAGAAGGAGATGATGGATTGATTTGTAAATTGAATGGACAGCAAGCAAAAGCAATGGCAAACAGGACGGGATGAGTTGTGGATTCGAGCTGGAGCAACACACATGACCACTTTGCACGATACGGCTCTGCAGAAGCAGGAGGAGCAGCTCAAAGTCATGGTCCAGAATATGACGCAGAAGCGGCAGCAAATGCAGCAGAACAACAGGGCGACCATGGAATCAGTTATTCAGCAGGTAGAAGCCGCAGTTGAACATGAGATTGGCTCACGACGAGTTCAGCTACCGAAAGGCACTGAGGCAGTATCGATATCGTTGGCACGAAGTTTCCAATACTTACACCAAGAAGCACATCATCAGCACAGACATCTTGAGGAAGAACATCAGAAGGCCACTGTCGGTCTTTTGGGCACAGCCAGCGCAGCGAATCCAGCGGCCCGTGTCGCGGCAGCGGCGGTGGAAGAGGCAGCCTCATCTTCCGCGGCAGCCTCCGAGGCGGCCGCAGGGGCTGCGTGGAGTGCTGGGATGTTGACGATACTGCCAGATGAAGACGGGTTACCACTGCTGTCGGATGGAGGCACGAATCAATTTGCGATTCGGCCACACGCAAGAGTGACCCTGGGTAAGGGTGACCTTTGGTGCGCGGCGTTTTGTGGGCCGCGGGGGGACCAAACCTGGGCGCGCAAGCCGCTGCTCCTGCTTCGTTTCCAGCCATCTGGGGACCCATCTGTGCCCGCATTCAAGGTCACTCCGGCGAGAGGTCACTCTTACGTCTAGTCGAGCTGTGCTCTCCACACCACGGGGCTGTCAGACGGAGGGCCTCGCAAGGCACCCTCTCCGTCGGCAGCATTGGACGGCCACCCCCTTTCCGACAGACAGGCCCGCGCCGATTCTCAATGGGCCGAGCCATGGCAAAGACGACGGAGAGCTGGCTGACGAGTGCTCTCGGCGGTCAGCACAAGATGTGAAAAGCTACTTTACAACGCTCGGGCCATTCTGGCGGGCTCCAATGCGAATAGCCATTGCCTGCAGCGCGAACCATTGCCTGCAGCGCGAGCGCGAGATGGTTGATGAGTGCGTTCGGCGTTCAGTACACGATGTAAAAAGCTACAGTCGGGGCGTTGACCTAAGGAACCCTAGATAAGGAACGAGGCCCCTCTTTCCACAAGTTAAACTTCGATCTCCCGTAGAAAACATGAGGCTGACCTGAGGCAAGCTGCGAAACGATTAAGGAACATGGAACCCCTCCCCAACGAAAATACGAGACCTGTGTTGCATCACAGCCGCAATTCGGCCCCTGACGTCGTCCTGGGCTCGGTTTAGTGAAGTGATGAATTTCGGGGTTCTTACGCCGGAAAAAAAGCATCACTTCACTAATCTAGGGCCCCTGGGGCCTCAGTGGGCCCTGGGGCCCAAGATTAGTGACGCGATGGTTTTTGGGGCCTCGGAGAAAAGGGTTCCTTTCTTCAGCGACCCGACTTGTACTCCAGATTTCGTAATAAAGGGAGGGAGGTCTCATTTCGGGGGGGGGGTCTCTTCCAGGCTATCTTGGAGGGCCTGGGGGGGTCTGGGGACGATGTTTTGGAGGGTTCTCCCACGGGGGGGGGGGTGTAAAACTTCTCGTCTGGGAGGGTTGAGACCCCCTCCCTGTTATTGCGAAATCTGGGGTACTTTACAACGCTCGGGCCCTTCTGCCGGGCCCCAGTGCGAACCGCCACTGCCTGCCGCGCGAGCGGGGCGGCCAGAGAGCGCCGCAGCGCGGCCCCCTCGCCGAGGCCGCCGAGGCTGCCCTGCGCGGCTCCCGGCAGCCAGCTGTGTGCGACTACCTGCCAGACCACCCCAACCCAACCCGAAGACCCGAACTTGACCCGAACTGCGGGTTGGGGGGGGGGTACGGGTTTCAACGTTCCCCGACCCCCCCCCCCCGCTGGAAATGGAGGGCAGATCGAGGCCTTCGGGTTGGGTTTTGGGGTGGTTCGGTGGGCGGTGAGTATGCCATTCGACACTTCATCGCCGGTGCCGAGTCCAGCAGAGCAGGATGGTCACCAGGGCAGCCCGATCCGAGATCTGGGCAAAGTGGCGGCCGACGAGTCGACCGACACAGGCGCGCCACCGGCTCACAGGGCGCAAGAAGGCCCTGGTGGCATTCCCCTCCCCAGGCCCCGGGCGCTCCGACCCTCTGGGCACAGGGGCAAAGGCGAATATTGAAGGGGCCCTGGGACGCACAAATAAATACACACAAATATCAGGAATCCTCATATTTTCCTATACTTTCTGGGTTTTTGTCTTCCCCCCCACTTCCCATATGTTCCCATATTCTCTGGGGAATTGACGATTGATTGTGTCTGTGTGTTTTTTCCCCTCCTGAAACATGTCAGCGAAGAGAGGAAGGAGTCTTCCGCGAGATCGTCGTCGTGCTGGAGGCCAGAGGTCGAAGGGGGGCGCCCAACCCCTCGGCATCCTCTCTCCGGGTGGGCAACGCAATAAACCAACATTCAAGTCAGAAGCCTTCACCGGGAAAGGACCTGACCAACGGCATCCAGACACCGAGGGAGTGCGAGATGGTGACAGATGTAGGCCACTTCGTCGACCTCGCGTCCGACCCGGACGGCGAGGACCACGAGGAGCTCCCGAGTACATCGATGGTCGTGCAGATTGGCCAACCGATTTCCGGCGTGCTCACCATGGGCGATCGCGATCGACATTGCCCTGGAAATATCACGAATTCAACAGCCGCAAGCAGCACCTCATCGTTACCGATTACCCCACCACCATCATGGACAGTGACCCTACGTGGCAAATGGAATGTACCTGAATTTGATGGTATACACGGGATCGACATACACCCGCATGTAGTTCAAGTACCACGTTTGGCACCGCCGAGAATGTCACAACCAACTACTATGCATATTTGTACAGATGGAACTCACAGATGGACCAGATGCATGGATGGCGCCTGGGCTGTTGCTTTGGTTGCAGAGGATGAGCTGGGTTGTGCATTCGTAGGCTACGCTGGGGCCAAGAATATTCACAGCACAGTGGAGCTGAATGATGATGATCACTTTGACAGCACCACAACGGAGATCATTGCTACATTGTGGGCCATCATATTTGTCCTTTGCAGTCCACGATCGGGCAAATTGCTGATATCGAGTGATTCGA